TCTCTTATCGCTTTCCATGTTTGTTTTTTTATCCACTCTTCAGATGGTTTTGTTCCCTATCCTAGAACTTCTTCCGTGGTGGTGACATATGCTTATTTTATGACCCACTATAGATTGTCACATATTTCATCACTAACTTTCATAAATTGATAGTATATACCTTAAATTTGTTCAATTGTTTTATTTCAAATTCTTTAGCAATGTCTCGTTTTCTCAGTTTTGTAACTGTATTCACTTGCCATTTTAATTTTAGTTTGATTGTTGCTATGCAGATGGAATGATCGTCCCACCTCAGCCCCTCTATATGCGCGGACATCAATTAAGAAGGTTCTGAATTTCTTTCCAATGCAAAAAATGATCACTTTGATTTTTTTTAGTACACCCAGTGAACACCAAGTAAATTTATAGATAACGTTTGTGGAAATAAGTGTTCCACCTAGAACAAGATTGTTAAAGTGCCCCATACATGATCAAATCTGCTTGCCAAACATTTTTATCATTTTTTTATGTTTACAGTTCGACGTTTGCCCTACACATTCAATTTTTTTAAAATCAAGCATTAGTATGTGCCAAGAGTTTGTAATGGGCGGACCAACAGCGTTGGCTCTTGCTTTATCCTTTCAAAGAAAAACAAAAAAGAAAAAATGAGCCAAAAATTTGATCGTGTGTGGGCTTCATCAAATTTAAATGGTGCAAATATATAGTTTTTTCAGTGCTGTCGGACAGAAAAGATCCACTTTTTATATCATCGTGGCGCCATCAAAGGAGAAAAAAAAAATATTCTGGAGCTGATTGAAGTGTACCAGGAGTACGTTTGCCTGAACTATGGAAAGCTAAAAGTAAAGAATATAGTGACCGAGATTTTTTTTAAAAAGCTGCCTATGACGCTTTCCTGCTGAAATACAAGGAGTGGTATATATAGAAAAAAGAAAAATAACTCAATGAGATCGAGTTTTCGAAGGGATCAGTTGAAAAAGTTGCATAATTCTCAAAAGTCCAGGGCCATTGCCAATGATATCTACGAGCCTTCATTATGTTTTTTTAAATGCTATTTTATTCCTGCGTAGTCAATCTCCGCCCATCCGCAAAAAGTTTCTGAATTCATTTGGCTCGGTAGCCTACATCGTAACTCATCTAATAATTTAGAATGGCCAAATTTTAGCGCTGCAAAAACCAATTTTTGGTCCACTTTCTTTTCTTTTTCGGGGGTTTTTCTTCACAAGGCTAAATCAAGAGCCAACGCTGTTGGTCTGTCCATTACAAACTCTTGGCACATACTAATGTTCGATACAAAAATTGAGTGTGTAGGGCAAACGTCAAACTGTCAAAAAAAGAAGCTTGATAAAAAAAATGTTTGACAAACAGATTTGAGCGTGTATGGAGCACTTTACACTTATTTAAAAATTCAGCCATATTATGATGTTAATGCTAAATATGGACACTGAATTTGAAAGAAATAAAACAAAATTGCATAGGATAGCCTAGGCTTAGGGCCTAATGCGCGATGAGAAATTTCATGTTATAAAAAGGCTTTCCAAAAGATCTAAGAAATAACATTATAATTAAAGCAGGGGAGGAGTACCCCCTCATGTGAAGAATAAAACATTGTGAAGAGAAAAAAAAAAGAAGAAAATTATTGAGTTTAGTTTACAATGATATGCCTTAGTCAGAAGCTTCCAAACAATTCCACAGCCCCCCCCCACCCAAAAAAAAAAAAAGTGTAAGCAGGAAAAGGGGTCAAATTGAATTAAATAGGCCCCTGGTAAAAACAGCATCACTGCATTGGGTCTAAAAGCAAATTTTACCTCTTGAAAATCTCCACACATTGGGAGTGAAAAGAAAGTCACCTCACTGAAGAAATTTTGGCTGGCACAGGCCTATAGGCACTGAAAACGGTGTAAAGTGTAAAATCTGGGAGCACCGCTCCCATCAACTTCCTCTACTTCCTTTTTAACCCACGCACCATCGCGGTTGCACAGGCGTGATCACACAGCAGCCGGTAAGACAATATTACTAGTTCTAAATATTAGATACATCTTCCTTTTGTTTTGTGCTATTTTAGATTCTTGTACCGATAGAGACTGTTTACATGTTTCATAGCTAGATTCTAGATCTAGGTCAAGGAGTCAACTTTTTCAGCATCTGCCCACCTGTCGAGTAGTCTAGAGTCTACTTACAGACAATGTATGTACACAGCAGCACTGTGGCAGCAGTAGGCCTACTGTCGTACTGGTAGATCTACTAATCTGACGTCCGTGACCATGTTGAATGTTGTGTCGTCTGCTTTCGTCTTCATCTCTTCTCACTTTCTGCCGCTCCCCCTTGCTCCTTCCTCGAGGGCCCTGCCTCTTTCTGCAGCCTTTCTAAATGGAAGTGGCTATTCTCACCCGGGGTGAGAATAAAAATACGATCCGCGTGAGAATAAAAATACGATCTCTAGAATCTAGATCTAGATCTAGATCTAGATCTACCTCTCACCCCGGGTGAGACTTGGCAGCGTAGGCTATTCTCACCCGGTGTGAAACAAGACCTGTTTTTCCTCATTTTGGAATACTGTCTATCAGTGTGGATGATCAAATTAGCAATGAAATGCCAATCACCCACTGTGCCTTGGGCCGGAAATCGCCCTCCGCACGAGGGGTAATTTTTGGGCTGCTCTGAATCAGAAGTGACTCTCTGTCTTCTAAGTATAGTTACGGGAAAACTCCTCAACGAAAATAAATGAAACTCGGCAACCAACCAGAGGAAAGGTTAAACTAACGACATGCCAGCGTACAACCCCGAACGATTACTAGATCTAGATCTAGAACCGGAGAAATTGCCGTGTTTGTGCGAATTTCCTCTGCGGTTCGAAAACTAAGCGGAGCTGCAGGTTGATCGCCGACCACACAAGCGCCCCACATGTCTTCTTTATTGCTGTAAAATTTCAGATCTCTGCGTTTAGTAGATTTTCCGTACCAACTTAAAATTACCACCCATTCATTGATAAAAGGAAGAGGCTAGCCGTACTTAATGACGGCTAGACTGGCAGTCTAGCCGTACTTATTCTTAATATGATGGCTAGACTCACCATTTACAAAAAATAGGCCTACTGAATTGTAAATATACATTTTTAATGTGCAGTACCTAAAGTTAAAGTATTTGTATTTGAGACAAAACCAGGTGCCTTAATGACAGTGCATGTATTTTAAACCTCCTGTTTTCTAATGTTAATAGGGCGTAAGATAAGTACGGCTAGACTGGCAGTCTAG